TAACCATAGCATGAAACATATGGATCCAAATCAGGCCCTTACGAAGCAACACATAAACTAGGGTTTAAACTTTTGTCACTCTAGCAACCCATCATCTACTTATTACTTCCCAATGCCTCCCTCCAGGCCCAAACAATGGTGAAGTGTCATGTAGTCGACGTTCACATAACACCACTAGAGGGATGACAACATACATCTCATCAAAATATCGAACGAATACCAAATTCAAATGACTACTTATAGCAAGACTTCTCCCATGTCCTTAGGAACAAACGTAACTACTGACAAAGCATATTCATGTTCATAATCAGAGGGGTATTAATATGCATAATGGATCTGAACATATGATCTTCCACCAATTAAACCAACTAGCATCAACTACAAAGAGTAATCAACACTACTAGCAACCCACAGGTACCAATTTGAGGTTTGGATACAGATATTGGATACAAGAGATGAACTAGGGTTTGAGATGAGATGGTGCTGGTGAAGTTGTTGATGGAGATTGACCCCCTCCCGATGAGAGGGTCGTTGATGATGACGATGGTGATGATTTCCCCCTCCCGGAGGGAAGTTTTCCCGGTAGAACAGCTCCGCTGGAGCCCTAAATTGGTTCCGCCTCGTGGCGGCGGAGTTTCGTCCCGTGAGCTTGCTTCTGATTTTTTCCTGGACGAAAGACTCCATGTAGGCAAAGATGGGCATCAGAGGGCCACCAGGGGGCCCAAGAGGCAGGGGGCGCGCCCAGGGGTGGACGGTGGGTGGCCCCCCTATGGTACTTCTTTCATCCAATATTTTTTATATATTCTGAAAATAATTGCCGTGAAGTTTCAGGACTTTTGGAGATGTGCATAATATGTCTCTAATATTTGCTCCTTTTCCAGCTGCCGGCATTCCCCCTCTTCATGTAAACGTTCTAAAATAAGAGAGAATAGGCATAATTATTGTGACGCAATGTGTAATAACAACCCATCAGCTAGGTAGTACCCATTGTTGTAGTGCCGCCCATTGACCTCAAAGTTCACCGGAGGAGAATGACCTTCAACAAGCTTGGCAAAGATAAAGGAGCACTGCAGCACGTTGATGTCACTGTGAGTTCCTGGCATACCAAAGAACGAGTGCCAAATCCAGAGGTCCTGTGTTGCCACCGCCTCGAGTATCACACTGCAACCGCCTTTGACGTCTTTGTACATCCCCTGCCAAGCAAATGGGCAGTTCTTCCATTTCCAATGCATGCAGTCGATGCTTCCAAGCATCCCAGGAAATCCTCTTGCTGCATTATGTGCTAGGATCCAAGCAGTGTCTTCCGCATTGGGTGTTCGCAAGTATTGCGATCCAAACACTGCCACCATCGCCCGACAGAATTTGTAAAAACACTCAATGGTGGTGGACTCGGCCATGCGCCCATAGTCGTCGAGTGAATCACCAGGAGCTCCGTATGCAAGCATCCTCATCGCTGTCGTGCACTTCTGGATTGAGGTGAATCCAAATTTGCCGGTGCAATCCTTCTTGCACTTGAAGTAGCTGTTGAACTCCTGGATGAAATTCACAATCCTGAGGAAAAGCTTTCGGCTCATCCGATAACGACGCTGAAATGTTTTGACGCCGTGCAGTGGAGCGTCGGCGAAGTAGTCGGAGTAGAGCATGCAGTAGCCCTCGAGACAATGCCAATTTTTTTGCTTTCATCCGCCCCGGCGCCGAGCCACCTCGCCGCGACTTTTCATTGCTCGCCAGCAGGTCGGCGAGGGCGACGAGGACCATGAGATGTTCCTTTTCTTGGACGTCGGCCTCGGCTTCGTCCTCCAGCAGCGCGGCGAATGCTTCCTCGTCGCCCGAGTCCATTGCCGAGGTAGGCAAATCGCCGAACAACTTGCATGTGCGGTGGGCGCATACCCGCTGCTATACCGCCTCTCCGCGGCCGGCAACGCTGGAAAAATCGCCCAGCCGATGGTCGAGAGGCTGCCTCGGCGAAACCTCTGCTCTTTTTTTGGCCGGAAAAATCTAGCGGTGGCGGGCGGTGGGCGGCGCTGGGATCATCCGATTGGCGGCCGAGCGCGCGGGGGTGGAAGGCGAATTTGAAAGAAAGATTTGATTTTTCGCCCGACCATGTGGGTCTAACGTGCTTTTCCCTCGCGCCGGAGCCCCCGAGCACCCCCAGTGCACCGGGTTCGGTCTATAATCGCCGGGCCCAAAAACAGATCGAGCCGGCGTCGAAAATGTCGCATGAGGCCTGTTGGGGACGCGGCTCGAGATGTTCTTGTGAACTTAGTTAGAACCTGTTTGGTACGCGTCCTGGCTTCCGTGCCTGATAGAAAGTGGTGCCTGGACATTACCTAGGAACTGGAAATTTTATGCCTGGCCAGGCATGGGCTATTTGGTTGCATACCTCGCCTAAAAAAAGTTTACTGGAAAAAGCATTACAGTTCAGAGCTAACTCACAAAAGAACCCCGCTGAATAATGTACTACTTGTAGCCAGGCTGCCTCCAGGCGACCGGTTCCTTGTGCCTGGGCCAGGCTAATCAAGTAGCCTGGGTCATGGGCCAGGCTAATCAAGATTTTGTGGGCACCAGGCCAGGCTAGCTTCTGCTCCCGTGGACTCCAACCAAACATGGCACAGGCAGTTTTCAGGCATGGTACAGGCCAGGCGCGAACGGACGAGGACGCCATCCAAACTGGCCCTTAATCCCGAACTCCACTCTGCCTTCCCTCATCCCTCGGAATCAGAAAGAAAAAACGCGATTCCCCTCAGCCGTCTCCCGCCCGCGATTCCCCCCTCTGTCCGTACTCGCCGCCAGTCGCCTGCCTCGACGGCCACTCGCCGTTGCCGGACGCCCAGAAGGCCAGGACCCACCTGCGGCCAGTCGCCCCGCCCAGCCCCGTCCGGCCAACAGCGGCACCATCGCGCCGGCTAGCCTAGCCGCTCAGTCCGCACTCGGCAGGCGGCAGCAATCAGCAGTGCTGCCCGGCGGCCGGCGGCAGTGTGCAGGCGTGCAGCAGCCAGCGCCCAGCCCGTTGTCTTCAGTACGCACTGCCCAATCTCCATCCCCCAATTTCATCATTACTCATTAGGGTTTGTTGTTTTTTATAATTATATTTATTGAGAAAACATTGCCCCTGTGTATGTCATATTCGTTGTCTGTGCCCAATCCCAGTTGGCATGCCAGAATTGCTGTCAATTTTCTTTAGCGGTGGACCGCCCTGTTGCAAAATCTAGACCTGCCACTGCCGGTAACAATGGTACTATAGGCAAAATATGTGATGCTATTGCTGGGAGTGTCGCACCTTGATGATTAGTTTTTACTACTACCTCCGTTTCAGTTTACAAGTCCTACGCGTATACCTAGGTTACCAATTTTATCATCTTAATATAAACTATATAACACAAAAATTATACGGTTTGAAAATAGAACTTCTGAAGTTTATATTGATATATTTTTTGTAATATATGACCTGTATTAGGTCGGTCAAATTGACGACCTAGGGGCACGCGCACGCCCTGTAAACTGAGAGAGAGGTAGTATGACTGAATTTGTTGGGAAGATAACCCTGTAATGCCTTGACGACCTTTATTTTATTTGACTTGTTCTCAAGTATACCAATGACCATATTTTTATTCTAGTAATATTTAGTATTATGGTGTCCGTAAGGTGTTTTGTTGTTCACATCTACGATAAACACAGCAAGAGATCACAAAGAAGTTAAACATTAGACAACTACCGTCCAAGGGCATCTGGCATTAGACTTTTCATCAGAGAACTCGCAAATAAAGTACGTGGACGGGACAGAAGCCGAAAAGAACTGGATTGCAGTTTCTCAGGGTCTTTTTTCCATCACTGAATCTGTGGGGTAGATAAGCTTAAGCCGTTTCTGGAGAAGTTCCAGCGTAAAGAACTGTGCCCTAATTTCCTTCCTCCTTCTCTTCTGTGCAGTTTATTTATGGTACTTATTTCCCACCTCAGTTAAATGGGACAAGGGGAGAAAGATTCAGCTGATAATTTGGTCTCTCCATCTGATGATAGGAACGAGCTGCAAGTGGAAGGTACGTTCATTGAATTTGTCAGAGCACATATCTGCAAAGCCGAATAATTGGATGCATATTTATTCTCATCCAAAATAAAGCAAATGAAATCAGTAAATTGGAAATCCAGATCTTCAATGGAAAAATATTTATTTGCAGACTTTATATCTCCATAGTTAGTAAACAGAACTTCGTGAGTCTAATAATAAAATATTTTTTTGTCTGTCTGACATCATTTATGGCATTCTACCTTATTAGCTGATTAACATTTTGTTTTTCCCATGTTATAGTTTTGCTCTCCTATTATCTTGCAACATAATACCAGCCTTTTCTCGTTCACCTAGGACCTTGCATCTCTGTATAGCTTTTCAGCAATGGGACACTTTTCTATCCTACTACGTATTTGATTCCATCCATAAATCAATTTTTCCTCCTATGCTCTGAGTTCCAGTATTGATAAGAATTCGAGTTCTTATTATTCTTATATGTTCTGGTATGAATATGCCATACCAATTCGTTATGTATGGATGATGGATGAGATTCCATGGATAGAGAGCCAGTTCTAATAGACTTATGGAACTTTCCCATTCAGCCATGGATGCTTAACAGGGATCATCGTACATCGTAAATAACCAATTTTCATATAGGAAGACATATCATAGAAAAATGAAATTGAATTTTTTTTTGAACAATCGGAAATATTCCGAGATGGCAAATATTCGGAGATGACTATGAAAACACCTCTCTGGATCCTTGAATTGAAAGATAGATTGAGAGGGATCAAGAATCCTAATTCTCGCTATTTGGAATTGATCCAATTCTATCGAGTCTGACTTATAGTTATCATTTCTCTTTAGCAAAGAATGACCTTGGTTATCAAAGTATTGAACAAACGGGATCCATTTACTTATGATACCTAGTTGGGATTGATAACAATGACCTAATGAATTATGAGTTTAATAGATCGTTCTTCCTCTCTGCTCCATGTATTCAGTCAAGGAATCACGAAACACGGTGCACATGTCTGATGTAATAGTAGAGGATTGCCTTCTCTCTGCTCCATGTATTCGTTCAAGGAATCAAAACACCTTGTTCATGATATTTGTTACTCTTACAGATCTACGTGTGAAGGAAAGATGCTTTGAGCAGAGAGAAGCTCTTCCTGGGGAGCCTCGCTGTGTTATATGTGGTCGATACGGGGAATATATATGTGATCAGACTGATGATGATATCTGTAGTGTGGAATGCAAGACTGCTCTTCTTGCTAGAATTGCCGCTGAAACAAAGATACCAGTAAAAGCACCAGCACGCATAAAAGTTCCGTTTGGTGATGAGAGCTTCTGTGTCCGAGACAATAATTTTCCCGATATACCGAGTTTGCATGCCAGCCAGATCGTTTCACTGAGAAATAAACTTGACATTTGTGTCAAGGGTGAGGCAATTCCTGATCCAATCATGTGTTTCTCTTCCTGTGGTCTTCCTGAGAAGCTTGTGCACAATCTTGATGCTGCAGGGTATACCATGCCTACTCCGGTGCAGATGCAAGTCATCCCTGCATCAATAAGTAATAGAAGCCTACTTGTCTCTGCAGATACTGGTTCAGGGAAAACAGCTTCTTTTCTAGTTCCTATAATTGCACATTGTTCACGGAGAGAGCTGCAGCAATGTGAAAGCAAGCGTGGGCCCTTGGCTATAGTCCTTGCTCCAACTAGGGAGCTATGCCTACAGGTGGAGGATCAAGCAAAAGTTCTTGGAAAGGGTTTACCATTTAAAACTGCTCTAGTTGTTGGTGGAGATCCCCTGGCTCAGCAAATATATAGAATTGAAAATGGTGTCGAGTTAATTGTGGGCACCCCAGGAAGACTAATTGATCTTCTGATGAAACACAATGTTGACCTTACAGATGTTTCTGTGTTTGTTCTGGATGAAGTGGACTGCTTGCTAGAGAGAGGATTCAGAGATCAGGCCATGCAGATCTTTCGTGCACTCTCATGTCCACAGGTTATGATGTTTTCAGCAACAATACATTCAGAAATTGAGAAATTGTCAAACTCACTGTCGAACAACATGATACATATTTCTTGTGGGAACCCAGGTAAACCAAATAAATCAGTTAGACAAGTGGTAATTTGGGTGGAGTCTAAGCAGAAGAAGCAGAAGATTTTTGAGATAATAAAAAGTAAGCAGCACTTTAAACCTCCTGCTGTTGTATTTGTGAGTTCCAGAGTTGGTGCCGATCTCTTGTCTGAAGCCATTACTGCTGCTACTGGGTTGGAGGTTATTTCTATTCATGGTGAGAAAACAATGGAAGAGAGAAGAGAAAGATTGAGACGGTTTCTCACAGGAGAAGTATCTGTTGTTGTTTGTACCGGGGTCTTGGGACGTGGAATGGATCTTCTGAAAGTACATCAAGTGATTTTGTTTGACATGCCAAATTCCATTGATGAATATATTCACCAAGTTGGAAGAGCGTCTCGGATGGGTAAGGAGGGCGTGGCTATTGTCTTTGTGAATGAGGAAGATAGGAAACTTTTTGGAGAGCTTGCTCAGGTTCTGAAGACTGCAGGAGCTCCAATTCCTCGGGAACTCTCTAATTCAAAATTCACCAGCAGTATTTCTCTTGGCACTGACAGGAAGAGAAAACTGAGTTCTCGGGCACATTCTTGACCAGTACGCATAACAGATATGTGGTCAATCTTTTTAATATGACAACTGTATGCTCTACCGGTTATATGGCTTTGTTGTTTGATAGCTGAGGTTAAAAGTTTTGTAGGAAGACAGTGCATGTTGTGCATCCATCTTCATGTGGATAGGCCAGATATCGGAATTTGTAACTGCTGAAATATATGGCAACTTCCTTGACAGCTTTACCAATGAGTCTAACGACGATTCTTCAGGGCCTGTGTCTGGAATCAATTTATGCAGAAAATGTAAACAAGCTACCTTATGTGTAATTTTATCAAAATGTTGGTCAAACACACATGGTGCAGTTGACTTAAATAATGGTATGATTTGTATTTTCCTTGATTCATTTGTTCAATGTTACACTGATGGTTTCCTGGTTCTTGTTTGTTTTCTTTCTGATTCTGGATTATCTGAATTAGGGAAGCCTGGATAGGATTTTAATTGTGAAACCACTGAATGATGAATACTCAAATAAGTATAGTGATTTGAGGTTCAATAATTAATATTGCGTGTGAACAATTCCGTAAGAGTAGTGAGCTTTTCTTTTTGGGCAAACAGTAGCTAGGGTAGTAAACCTATACCACTATGATAGTTGATAGGTGAGGCATCAACGCACAATTTAATGGTCCATTTTGTTAATAGCGAAGCACAATACTGGGACCATCTTACTCAGTCCCTTACTGAGAATATCCATGATTTTGTTTACTTTCTTTTTCTAATTGCATATTTGATACATGTTTAGGGAACATATATTTGTTTCCTTTACTGGGAAAATGTTCGCTAGCTCAATAGTTCAACAGTAGTGAACCAGCCCTATAAACAAAATTAGTGTAACCACAAGTAGTATGGCATTCTATATAAACATCCTTCCACAAGCACATCAATATGTCCTGCCATGGCATCTTTTTACAACTGCAGTGTGGTTCCATTTCAAATACTACAATAACTGACTACACGTTTTTTTAAACAAACTGTCTGATTTTAACTATTCCCATTTAGGTGGACCACTGGCAATTCTTAATCATGCAAATACGAATTATGCTTTATTTTCTATCTATGCTGCTCCATTCGACCGAAAAAGGCTTTTGCCCTGCTTTATATATAAAGCAACAACAGAACATTACAACACGACACGGCACCACACAGATGACAAAGGAAACGGCAAGATGCAACGGTGCTGAGGATGGTAGTCCCCTGCCTGGGCGGGCCTCTCCCACCCACGGCACTGGCGGCGGCTGGGAGTGGACCCCGCGCCTCCTGCGCCGGTCGCTGATGAAGGAGCTTTGCCTCCCTGGTCAGCAAGACCACTCCCGCGCTGTCGCTACCGTGAGAAGTTGCGCCACCAAGGCCGGCCAGACCACCACGGCAACCCTCCATGGCCAGATCTGCGCAGGGCAAGCCGGCAAGACCACTCGAGTTGTCAGGAGGGGCGGGGGTCGGGGGAGATGGGGAAAGAATTCTCAGCGTGTTTGGCAGCCTGAGGGAAAGGGATTGGGAGTTTACAGAAGGGAGTGTCTAGGGATTAGGCTTGCGAAGTAGATTTTTAGTCCAAATCCCCTGTTTGATGTGTGGTGGGAATTTGGAGGAAGCTTCATCCCACCTGAATTAACAGGGGGAGACTAGGGAAGAAATACGTGGGAGTTAGCCTGTTTAATTACCTTTCCCCTTCCTTCCTCAATTCCCTTGCCCCAACCAAACAATGGATTTATATGCCTCATACCCCTTAAACTCTCATTCCCTGTCACTAATTCCCACCAACCAAACACGCTGTCTATCCTATGCTGTTCCATTCAACAACTTATTCTGACAATTCTATCACGTGGAACCATAATAGACACTCGAATCATATGTATGGTTAATCTTATTAAAACCATAATATGCAGATCTAGCATATGAAAATATAACTATCAGAAAGTAAGTAACTTAATGTGATATGCTTTACAATCTTTATTAAAATGACATCACTGATTTATTTGAATAGTATTGAAGCAAAGGGTAGAGTTAATGTCGGAGGACCATCACAGCTATCTTGCTGGCCATATTTAATTCATGCTTTTGCAACATGGGAGTTCTTTGACCTGCTAATGTGGTACTAGAAATTATGGAACACATGATACTGGACAATTTAGGGTAGTCATATACTCTTCTGAATAATGAGACATAATGACCTGACTATTTCACTTGCCCTTTGTCTTTTTCAAAATTAGATGTACTATGTGTTTGCCGTGTTATAATTTCTTAGTACTTGGATCTGTATAACTTATTTATTGAACTTATAGGACGGCGGAGTGGTCGGAATTAGTCACCAAATTCACCCTGTGATAGACATACATGTTAAAGTCCACGACTGTAAATATATACCTTAGTAATTAGCAATTAATATATGGCACTTCATAACCTTGTACATAAAAGATGGAAAAGACCAACTTAGGATATAAATCTCTTTAGAGCTGTCCCTGTAGAGCAGGATCCTTTGATGTTGTTTATTGTGTTATTGTGTATCAAGAGTGAAGAGGTGTGTAGTGATGCTACATGTACATGGTAGCTTGCGGCAAAGGGTCGAAGAATGACTTCGAAATGATAATAGATGCACATTACTGCAAAAGTTGGCTGAAGTCTGAAGGAGCAGGTGGAGAAAGCTTTTGGTTGTTGCTTGAAGGATCCCCTTGAGGATGGGAGCTGTGGCAGTAATGGGGACGAGTTCGGGAATTTTGAAGGCCAGTATTACTACATCTGCTGACGGTGCAACCGTGCAAGCAAGACATGGTGGGTGAAAAGACAGTTAGTCTCCATTCAAACATTTCCATCTTTATATAGGTATGGACGGGAACATGATAAAGAAAGTACACAACTTAACTATCTTAAGAACCCAAACTTGTGTAATGCCATTTATTCCCTGACATAGTAGCTCAGTATTCAGAAACTATGGTTGACAGCGTTTTTCCATCTATGTTATTGTTTTCTCCTTTTCTGATAAAATTGTTTGTAATGACCGCCCAACTAACTGACCTGGCCCTTAAGCATGCCTGCTCTGTACCAACCTCTAACTCAACCATGAAGCTGATATTTTTTTGTCATTTCTCCATATTCTGAAGTCTGGAAAGACAAAGAAGGAATGTGAGGACCTTGCTCGTCGTTCTTGATGTGTCTATCTTTTCTTTTCACACACATAAACTCTTTTGACTTGCCAATGTTGAGTTAGCATCTGATCTAACAAGCTCTGACCATTAAGTTTCTTCTAATTCTGTATTTGCTAAGTCGGCAAGAGTTGCTCATTTTGGGCTTACCATGATGGATGGTCATCATCACTGGCACGTAAACTATTTTCACAAACTCACCTTATATGATGGCCTTCTCTTTAGTACATAATTGACATGAGCTGTATCTGTCTAGTGACTATGTTCTATTTGTTTGATTATTAGTTGAAGCTCCAAGGCTGCTATCAGTTGTTCCTAGTCTGAAGGCAAAGGATCTGCTGGTCATTATAGCATATGGGCTCATCCTAGCTAACCTAACATGATTGATTAATTGTCACTTATTGTGCATTGCATTTCGTCATTGAATGAGGAGAAATACGACTCTCAAGGTCTTTTTGTACACCTGTCCTCGAATAATTTTTCTATGGTCCATTCTTGGGTTGATCATTCACACCCTTAAGACTTCTTTGGTCTGGGAGAGTTCTAGGTGGATTTCTTAGGATTTAGTTCGAAAAATGCATACTCATACATCTACGTTGCTGAGCATGTGATTGCATGATGTGGAGTTGTTGACGACATTGCTAACGTAACTGGCAGAAGGGAGCTTCCTGACAATATACCCTTCTCATGTTCAAAAACATTTCACCTCCCTTGTTTTGAAGGAAATTCCTGACGACTGCAGATGACGGAATTGTGTGCTAGCTGAGGCACAATGCCAAGTTGTAGGCTTCAATCGATACCTTATTTTTTCGCGAACAATTTTTTATCTTTTTTTTTTTTGACTGAGTTGCGTTGGTGCTTGGCTGCTTGCTGGTTTGTCTTATATCCCTTATAAATGTTTTTCCTCAAAATAAATGCATACACATATCGCATCAATACAAGAAAATGGTTGGTGTTTTCTTCTGTATACATAAACCTCTAGAGCCCATGGTCCTTAGAAATGATTGTCGTATAGAGCTGAGGTCTTCTTCACAAATATCACCTTCATCATGTTATTTAGATTTCTAAGAGTCCAAGTTTGGAGTCTGAAGTTGAATGAAGGCATGAGGTAACACAAAACCACATTCTATTTATTTCCTTTATATATACTACATAACTGACATTGATGTATATAATAAAGTATCTTGACGGTGACTGTGTATGTAATAACAAATATAAGTACATATAGCTGCACACAGTTGCAAACTTATGCTTTTTGTAACTTGGATCGAGTAGTAGACATATATCTATCTTCCTGAAACAACCTGAACTGCTTGCGTACCAACCAGTCTACGGGATCCTGATCTCGGATGGCGACGTTGCGATGCTGTTTCGTCCATGCTTTTTCAGACGACGAAGCTACCTTCTTCTCCATGCGATGGCGAAGCTGGACCGCTACTGCTCAGCAGCTCCTCGATCATCTGCAGCGTGAGCCTCTCCTCGTCATCCATTGTACTCGCCGGTGAAGAAGCCGTGGTTGCTGACACTGTGGACTGCGCTGCCACCGCATCGCCGGATGGCCCGGCCCCTTTGTTGAGCTCCACGGTCATGACCCAGTTGGAGTCGGCGCGGGCCCCTGCACGCTTCTGCCAGACGCCAATGTGGGACTTCTCGGTGTCAAGGCGAAGGCAGGTGAGGGACGGAGACGGCGCCTTGCAGCACTTGCGAAGCTTGGCACTGAGAACCTGGGACAGGTTGCTCGTAGAGGAGGAGGAGCTGCCGCCACGAACGTCCCGGGTTGCAGCTGGGGCAGGATCGCCGGTGCTGCTCCTCTGCACGGGGAAGTTGGTCTTGGCATTGCGGCCGCTCATCAGAACGGCGGCCTCGTCGTAGGCCCGTGCAGCCTCTTCAGCGGTTTCGAAGGTACCAAGCCACACCCTTCTTTTACTTCATTCACAAAGACACGCATGCAGTTTGTTAGAATCTTGTAAACCGATCGATGGAAAAACCACTGATCTTTAGAGGAAGTTAGAGGGAATCGAGGGAAGCTAGAAAGGAGGGGAGGGGCTTACAGGAGGGGGTGTCTGATCTCAGAGACCCAGGAGCCCCAGTGGCGCTGCCTGACTCCACGAAACTTCTTCTTGGGTTGCACCATTTGTTCTGCCTGTCTTTCACAGACGAGGGAACGAGCCTCTTGAGTCCGCCAAGGTGTTGTGGGGGGTGAGGAGAAGAGCTCTGGTCCGAGTGATGAATATAAGCTGCCCAGCCTGTACTTGCCTCTGCACTGCCGTGTTAGATGTGGTTAGATGCGTAGGTAGTCAAATAGTACGCGGCACAGTGTCACACGCCCCCCCTCACAGAAGAGAGTGTGCCTGGTCTAGTTTTCACCGGCCATCATTGGAAGACAGTGTATACACCGGAGAGCATGGGTGCCTTGCTGCTGGGGTCACTTACCAGTACCACCACCAGTCTAGCACGCAGCCGTGCGCGGAGGCAGAAGACAAGAGCGAGATCGGGGGAGGCGCAACGGAAGTCTGGAGGGGGTCCGCAGGGGTGGACTGTCGGTGAACTGAGTAGATGCATAGCATAACCACCTTCCCTGCTAGTACAGTGGTAATAAACACGCTCACCTACACCAGTGGCCAGCCACATTTAATTGTGGGGCTGGGCAGCCCTGGCACTGGCAGAGTTGATTCACCTAAGCTCCTACAACTAGCCATGTCTTCCCTTCTTCTCAAAGATCAGATCCCGAGATTATTATTATTATTATTATTATTATTATTATTACTACTACTATTATTAAAGGCCCAACAGGTCAGGTACCAACAGCTGTTCACCAGAAGCCTTGAGCTAAATGAGTTAATGAAAGTTACAATAATGTTACAAACCAGGACAAAGGTGCAAGTAAAACCGAGTCAGATACAGAAAGAGAGCTCGCCATCTTGGTTCTTTCGTAGCTAATGGCCGTGGTCCTGATGCCCAATCCAATCATGGGTTTGAGTGCCATGGGACGCATGGCCCCTTGGCACTTAACTGCAAAGACTGGTATGTCAAGGCTTCTGTTTGGATTGTCAATATGGTAAGACTTGTGTTGGGAAACCAGCGTTTTCGGGATATTTTGTGCTTTGTGTGCGATGGCCTCTTGGAGGCTCTTTTGCTTCATTTGTAACACCTCTTCATCTTTCAACACCCAGTCTTTTTTGAGCCGTGGAATGTGCAACATAATGTTGCTTTTAAGCTAGGGTAGGTTACTTTTAGACTTGATAGAGCGGTTTTGAGTAAGACTTGCTGGGGAGCTGTCAAGCTTCCCTTTGCTCCGATATTTTTGGCTCTGGGATCGCTTCCTTGGAGCTGGTTCGCATTTAAGCCTGTCCAAGGTTAGCTCCATGTACAGCCTGGTGATGACGATGGTGCGTGCTCATGTTTCCTTTGCTTGATGGAGAATTTAAAAGTTATATCTTCTGACATATTGTTGACTGCTGTGTTATGATCGTCGTGCTTGGTCGCAAGACTTCCCAGATTTCATCAAAGTTTTCCATCTATGAATTATGTGTTTTTTCGATCTTTTTTCACGCAATCTGAAAGTTCATGGCAGTGACTTCAGATTTGTAAACATCTTGCTGCTCTTCTTAACACTACCATCCATAATTCTGCTCAAATGGGGTATATGCCCTGACAATGCACGGCAAGGGTAGTACTAACTAGGCCGTGGACGTCCCTACGCAGTCTGGTGATATCGACATTTAAGTGTCCAACAGTTGGTCTGCAATAATTGTCATATTTCACCAGGCAACTGCCCCGATTTCATTTTATTTTTTGTGTTGAAGTGAATCGGATTTGCTTGCTGGAGTCCGTTACCCCTGTCGACTCAGTTAATGAGGAGCAGGTATGTGCAGGCTCCACAGACATCTGTGTCAGGTTTTGCTGGATAGGAAGCTTCTGTGCCCGATCTATTCTTCTGACACTGTCTGCACTGCACGCAACCTTTTCCTCATGGCAAGTACATGCAGCACACCAGTTCAAACTGGCAGCAGTACATCAAGTCAGGAAATAGTACCATTTCACAATGTACTAGTGCCTCTTTAGAAATCTTTGGAGTTTTGGATCTCGACTGGTCAAACCAAAAACTCCTTAAATTCGAGTGTTAATATGTGTGTACTTGTTTAAATTGATCACAAGTGAAATAATATCTTGTTAGATTTCTTATACTAGAAGTAAAAATATTATTTTTGTGTGCTTTCAGTCCCTATATGTTTTTGCACTGTGGAGTTTCATGAGTAGCCAGTATTTCTTTTTGTCTCGTGGCACATATTACAAATGCATTTTTTTGCTTGATTTTGGCTGAGATGGTGGATGGATGATGTGGAAGGGTCTGAGGGACAATATGTGGCCAGACCGGGTTGCCAAATCATTAGTTTCTGGTAGAACTCGAGGACCTTAGCGGGATACCGGACCGGAGTCTGGCTGGCCGGCCTCAATTATTTCTCATTGTGTCTCAGGATACTAGCTCAACTGCATTGTGTGCAAGGAAGAAAAACATGGTTAAATGATCGGACAACTATCAAGGTGCATACTGCATATGGATATGCCTACGTGCAGCGCCTCGTTATTATCTGCATCACACTATAATGTCCCACTGAAATATAGGTTTTGCTTTGGAAAGCGTGCACCCAAACCTCCCTGTATTTTGGTAACTAACGTGAATACATGTATGACAAAACTTAACTATCAAAGTTACGAGAGTGGAGAACTAGGCTGTAGCCTAGTGGCAAGGGAGCGCAGTGGCGTCTCCAACAACCAGGGTTCGAGCCACGTCGGGGACGAATTTCTGGTTTCTCACAAGGGATGCTTTCTCCTATATCAATAAACCATGGGTGCTAGTGCCCATGAGTTTCATCTTAAAGTTACGAGAGTGACATGTGATGCAAGAGTTTTGGATAGCAATTTGCGGCGACTCCCATTGATATTCTGTGGAGTAATTTGAGATGTCACTAGTCTTCACATGATCATCAGACCCTATTAAGTACAGTAGTTGGATGCTTTCCAATTTTACATTTGGCATTGATCTCGCTGCTCATCCAACCTGGATGCAATTAGGGGACATGTGTTGCGTGTATTTAGTACTCTTTGATTCAAAGGGAATTCTACATATTGGGGGATTTCACTGTTTGATTTATCTGATTGAAACCACTGAAGCTTTTACCATGAACATTTTGCATGTTATTCTAAAGAAATTTCTGTTGTTTCGGTTACATCTACGGCAAACACTTGGTGCCCCTACCTCTGTATACAGCGCGGCGAAATCACTTCTATTACATATTCATGCGTTTGCAATTTCTATACTGTTGTGCTTTTGGTTGCATGTTCTTGAAAAAGCTCAAAATGATTTGGATCTGGACATCAGACTGCTGATCGGCGAAGAAAATTGCAAGGGCAAGCCCTGGTATGACATAAGGGCAGTTGTGCATTATTAGTACATAATATTGCGATCGATGACGTTTTTTCTTGTAAGGACAAAGTTGCCGAAAGGACAAATCTGAGGGACAAGGCATTAAAGCTGGCCTTAATTAAGCACTCTCTTATTGTTACGACGAGTCCAACGTACGGTGGCTTTCTCTTTCTCGTGCATGCATGGATCAACCGTACATATATGCGCAAAAATATGTTTACTAGGTGGCAAAAATATGCAAAAATTTGTCTTAGGTACATGGCAAATTTACAAAAAAATGTAGATGGCAGCTTTTTGCACTAGGTACAAATGGTCATAACCGCATTTGTTTTGATTTATTTTGCAACAGTTTTTAGACACCAAACTACATGGAAAATTTATTTCCGTGCATCATTCCAAATTTGTCATGTGTCTATGGAAAATCTATTTTACACACCATGGCAATTTTTTTCAATTCAAGCATTGCAATTTTATTAATTACACCATGATAGTTCTATGGCAAATCTATTTTACACACCATGACAATTTAAGGGTGTGCTATTTTAAAAGATCCGCCGCCTCGCGAGCCATCATATCTGGCATAATCTAGCGGCCACGCGTGGTCGTCTACTTTTGCAACAAAAGTCTTGTTGCGGAATCCTTTGTAACAAAAATCTTGTTGCAGAAACATTTGCAAATAGAGGTTGGTTGCAGAATTATTTTGCAGCAAGAATCATGTTGCAGAAATGTCTATGATTTTTTTTGCAACAGAGAGCATGTTGCATGAATATTTGTAGAATTTTTTTTTGTAACAGATGTCTTGTTACAGAAAAATTATGCAACGGAGATCATTGCCGGAACTGTTGCTGCCGTGGCACCGGCGGTTGCGGTTGAGCTCGAGGAGGTGACGAGCGCCACTGTGAACCACGACACGACGAACACACTCCCTATGGCGACCTCCTCGTCCAACAGTAGTGTTCGATGCAGGCGGGCGAAGTCGGGGGCGACAGAGGGGCGGAGGCAGCCAAGGGAGTGAGATGTCGATCTTTCCTGAGCGGATCCGGTAGGAGGCGGCTTGGGCGAGCTCTTCAGGTGGCCGGTGTAGAGACGACCGATGACCGAGGAGATGAGCAGGAGAGAGGGCCCAACCGACGAGGAGAGGAAATAGGAGGAGAGAGAGGGGAGGGCTGCCGATGAAGGAAAGCTTGCTCGTCGCTGCGCCGACGGATCTGGTGGCGTGCGTGCTTGGTGGTTGCCAGGATCCAGATCTTGCAACAAATTAATTGTTGTGGGGAGAAGATTGCAACAATAGGCCAGTTGCAAACCTAGACTGTGGAAAAAGGATGCTTCGGAGCCATCCGATTAAAGAAAGTTCCGACGGCCACAGAGGCGATCGATGCGCACAGAAAGATCAATCAGGTGATCAGAATCGTTTCCCTTTCATTATTTAGACCATGGCAATTTTATTAGTTAGACCATGATAATTTTATTGTAGGTTGCATGGCAATTTAATATTTTATACCATGGCATTTGTATTATGCAGATCATGGATTTTTTATCTCAAATCTGCCATGATTTTTGAGAAATACCCCCTCCCCCCCCCTCCTATTTTGCGATGTGGCTATTACACAATTTTCAAAACTTGCCAGCATTTTTAGGAAACATATTTTTTTTTGACAAAATTGCCATGCGATCATTGATGCATTTGCATGTTTTGCCTTGTTTCT